TATGAACTTACTCAGACTCAATACCTTTGAGCTACAGTGCTGGGGCAATAGCTTAGGGGGGTTCAGGGACATACAGGAAGGAATGGGATGGTCTTGCATTAGAGCAAGAATTCATTTGAAGTTTTCTTCCAGACAGGGGTGCTCATAGTAAGGCCATTGTTCCTATGCTGAGACCTCCCCTGTAGAAACATGTCACAAATGAAAGAACAGAAGAACTATCCAGAAAAAGAACTAAATGAAATGGAAGCAAGCAAAGTATTAGATACAGAGTTCAAAACAATGGTCATAAGGATGCTCAAGGATCTTAATAAAAGCTTCAGGCTTCAACCTAATGGTTGAATTTAGTAAGAATTTCAAGGATCTTGGTGAGCATTTCATGAACCTTAGTGAGAATATCAAAGATATGAAGAAGGACTGTCAAAAATTAAGTATACACTAATGGAAACAAATAATTTATAGGGATTCACAGTAGAGAATTCTGAGAACCAAATCAATGATTTAGAATATGAAGAAGCAAAAAACACACAGTCAGAAGAGCAAAAAGAGATAAGAATGCAAAAATATAAAAATACTTTAAGCCCCGCTTTCACCCAATCGCTCCACACCATCAATGGGTACAAGCAGGAATGGGGCTGCCAGGAGACAGGGGACTAGGGACTGTGGTGGGAGGGGGGGGGCTAGGCAGGGGCAGGAAGGATGGGTTGCCCACCACAGCCTTGCAGTCCATTATTTATTTCAAGGTACACAAATTCTTGAACTAGCCCCCTAGTCTTTAAAATAAACAGAAAAAAAAAAATTGAACCTTAATATAATTAATAGGTACGTGTAAATTAAAATATTTTAAGTGAATAAGCCTCCTTTTCTTACCAGTTATAGTATAACTATTTAAGGAAAGCTTATGGATTTATGAAAAGAAAAATTCATTATTGCTAAATAGGTCAAAGTTTGAAAATTTAGAACACTCACAATCTTCCCCAATTGCTTTTACTAGTACAGAGGCTCAGCAACAAGTATATTGAAATCCACTAGAGGGAGCTGACACTATTGTTAAGTTGTATTACCTGCTTCTTTATCAGAAAAATAAAACTCTCAGCAAAAAGGACTTTAAAATAAAAGGAAAAAAATGTATATTTATATTTCATTTCATTCTGTTCTTTCCATGACCTCATCAAAACAATAATAAAAATCTAGGAAAATGGGGAAAGCTTCATATATAGCACTTTACTGATTGCTGAAATGTTATGTGGAAAATTCTTTGGTTATTTACAAAGAAGGGCAATTTTAAAAAGTGTTTTCTAACTAATTAAAGTTTTCATAGAAAACAAATATGTTCTTGTGCTTCTCATAACAAATTTGGGAAAGACATTTAAAAAATATTTTTATTGTACTACCTTAAAATCCAATTTTATTCTATAATCCTTTATCTGTGCATATGTATGTATATGTATGGGTACCAAAATTTCAATAATGTTTTAAAAGTGTTTATAAACCAGCCTGTCATAGGAATTTTTGCCTTAAAAAGTAAGCTGATGAGTATGGATATTTTGGACTAGACACTCTGTATTAATATCTCAAGAGTAAATTAGTGAGAGACAAAAGAGATATCCAGAAAAAAAATTCTAGTGAAATGGTAGGCATTTGCACAACTATTTCATTGTTATATCTTCCTAGAGGCCTGGTGCACGAAAATTTGTGCACTCGGGAAGGGGGTCTCTCAGCCCAGCCTGCACCCTCTCACAATCCGGGATCCCTCGGTTAGGGTCCGTGGGCCTTGCCTGAGATCAGGGCCTATAGGGATTTCCTTCCCCAGGCTGTAAGCAGCTGGTCCCAACCCTGCTTGCCATCTGTGCAGCATCCCCCCCCTCCCCTGCCACCGGTGGCCTCCCTCTGCAGGTGATAGACTGGGGTGCAATGGCTTGGCTGGTGTGGGCCTCCCTCTTTCTTTGCTGAGGGGCGGGGCCAGCCCTACGAGGGGCCATCTGCCTACCTGATCACCCCTAACTGCTTGCCTTCCTACTTGATCACCCCTAACTGCTGGTCTGCCTACTTGATAACCCTGATCCACTGGTCTGCCTACCTGATCCCTCTGCCTGACTGCCTTATTGCCCCTAACCGATTGCTTGGGGACAGGGCCAGATCTGTGAGAGACTGTCTGCCTACCTAATCTCCCCTAACCCCTTTGCCTGCCTACCTAATTGTCCCTTACTGCTTCCTTTGGGGCAGGCCAGCACTGACTTATAGATGGTCAGCCTCTGGTCATAACTGATCATTTTGACCCAGCGTTTTTATATATTAGGATCATTAAATGAGAAAAATATGATATTGTATAGTTAAAGTAAACCAATAGCAAAATGCAGTCCAAAGAATGATTTGTCCTTTGTGATTTTCAGTTGCCACATGGATGCTACATCTATAATAATCTTCATATAATTCAACAAAAGTACTATTAAGATGCCGGGGTGTGAAGTGTCCAAAATGACTGAAGGCTCAACAAAACACTGGAAGTTATTTCTGCAGTCAGCCACAGCGACCAAGCACTGACTGCTAAGGGGGCTGTAGTCAGGCCCAGATAGAGGCAGGAGAGAAAAGCAGGGTCTGATCACAGCCCCTAGTGGCAGTCAGTGCTGGGTTGGCATGGTGGAAGTCAGTTCTGCAGTCAGTGAACATAGATTGAATGAATATTAAGTGAACATAGGGTCAATTAATATCTCTTTGAGAGGAGTTGAGAATATAAAATACAGTATAGAGCAATTATTATATTATTTCACATAAAATGCTTTTCAACTAAGATATTTCCTTTATTTAAAATGTATCTTTATTGTTGTATTACAGATGTCCCTTTGTTTTAGATTTTCCCCCTCATTAATCTCCTCCACCCTGCACCTGCCCCTTCAAAGCCTTTGCCAGAGTATTATGTGTCCATGGGCTATTCCTATCTAATACATAAAAATCTAGAAAGATGTAGAGAAAAGAAAATATGAGATATGCCAAGTAAATATTGAACAGAAGAGCTGAAGTTGCTGCATGAATGCTAGATACAGGCTTAAAGCCAAAATACAATTCATGAGATAAAGTTAGTCATTGTAACATAACAAAAGGTTCCTTTCACTAGAGAGATAAGATGGTTCCCAATACTTATACACATAATAGAACAGTGTGGGGGTTCAGAATGAGCCTCACCAGGATGTGTCTTAGTGATATGCAGATTTTTTAGCTAAGGACAGTTTTAGCTTTAGGCTCAAGTGAAAATTCTGCCCCTTCCTTTAACTACTTAAAAAAATTGAATCAGAGGCCTTGCCCAAAATAAGACATTATCCTATATAATAAAATGCTAATATGCAAATCAACCAAACAGCAGAACAACCAGCAGTTATGACATGCTCAATGCACCAGCTTTCCCCTGGTGGTCAGTGTGCTCACACAGGGGGAACACCACTCAACCAGAAGCCAGGTTCATCGCTGGATAGTGGATCAGTGCTAAGCCATCAGTTGGACATCCCCTGAGGGTTCCTAGACTGCGAGACAGTGCTGTCTGGGCAGAGGGATCCCCCCCCTCTCCGAGTGCACAAATTTCGTGCACCGGACTTCTAGTATATAATAATAAAAGTGTATTATGCAAATCAACTGAACAGCCAAACAGAGGGATGACCATCTGGACGACCTTCCAGATGAAGCTTGGGCAAGGCAGCCGTGGCTGCGAATGCCTATTCTTGCACAAATTTCATGTATCAGGATTCTAGTCCTATATATAAAGCAAAATGGATTTAATGACAACCCATTGACAGGCTTCAAATAATTTTTATTTCCTTCAATTTGAAAATATAAACATGTTTGATGGTAAATGTTGAAACCTGTAAAGGAGAAGTTATGCCTTTATAAAACAAACTAATGGCCTGGTGCATGACAGTCATGCACGAGAGGGGGGGGGGGGCGCGCCTCAGCCCACCTGCACCCTCTCCAATCTGGGACCTCTCAAAGGATGTCCTAATGCTTGTTTACAGGGATCGGGCCTAAACCAGCAGTAGGACATTCCTCTCACAATCCTGGACTGCTGGCTCCAGCCGCTCACCTGCCTGCCTGCCTGCCTGATTATCCCAAACCACTCTGCTTGCTGGCCTGCTCAAACCCAAATCCCCCCAGCAGCCTAATCACCCCCAACTGCCCCCGGCCCGTTCCAGTCTGCTCACCCCCAACTCCCCCCCCCCTGCTGGTCTGATCGCTCCCACCATCTTCCTTCCCCACTGGCCTGCTCACCTCCAACTGCCCACCTGCTGGCCTTCTCATTCCAAACTCTCCCCGCCCCCCCACTGTCTTGATCAGCTCCAACTGACCCCCACTGATGGCCTGCTCATCCCTAAATGACCCCCCTGTTAGTCTCTGCTTACTCCCAATGGCCCCTGACATCCCATCCTGGCCTGATCATGCACCCCGTGACCCAAGGTCACACACTCTCCTTTTTTCTTTTTTTTCTTTTTTTTTTTCAGTGCCTCCTTAAGTGGAGGCCAGGGCTGAATGAAAGAAAGTATCTAGAATTTATTTATCTTCTATAATTGGAACTTTGTAGCCTTGAGCAGAGGCCAGGCCCAGCCAGGACAGGTGGGAAGCTTGGCTTCCTCCATTGCCTGGCCAGCCCAAGCTTCCTGCTTGCTCCAACTCTGTGGCCAGCGGCCATCTTGGTTGGGTTAATTGCATACTTGCTCCTGATTTGCTGGTGGGCATGGCTTGAGCGCATAGTGGAGTAATGGTTAATTTGCATGTTTCTCTTTTATTAGTGTAGATGCTTTATTTATTCCTCACAGTCATGAAATTATTATGGGGGAGTAGGAGAGAAATAAAAACATATATTTTCCAACAACAGTATTTAATTACTTGTTACTACAGGTTGGAAGGAAGGTGGTTCCTTTAATCAAAATTATTATTTCATGTTAGTTCATTTATTTTCTGTATTAACAACTAATTTGTAAAACATCCAGTTAGCCATGTTGAGTATTTTTACTTACTTTTCTGTAGCTCTTTTTCTCTGGCCTGCACATCAGCAAAGACTTGGTTAAAATGATTTGTAAAGGCCACAAAGTCTGCATCCAGGAACATTGGCCCTTGTCCTTTCTCTTTCAGGGCTATGCTTTGACTTTTTAATCGCTCTATTTGAGGCTGAAGAGCTGACAGCCGGTTGACTTCATCCTGTACCATAATTTAGAATATGAAAATAAATAACATTTTCCTGTGCAAATATCACATTTTTGTAAAGAAAGGTGTTAAAAGGCACTTATCTAAGTGTAGCTTAACACCCTTATCAAAAAAAAAATGGTGAAAATCATCCATGATGACTTAGGCAAGCCTCTAGCTCAGGTCTTCAATTTAATACTACCTGGGCTCTCCATTCAATAAATATTATCATATATAACTACCATTAAATTTCAAAATGAGTAGTAATTCATCTGAGCATTAATGGGTATTAATGTGTACAGGTGAAAAGCATTATGAATGACCTTATACTCTTTACATAAATTAAACATGCATGTTCCTCTTATCTCAAAATTGTGTATCTTTGCTTCAAATTCTAAGTTCCTTTCCTGAACAATATTTATTATTTCTTTAAATTTACTTGTGTAGATGATAACTTATAGATTCATTTGTGTAGAAGATAACTTATAGCTGAAACCGGTTTGGCTCAGTGGTAGAGCGTCAGTCTGCGGACTGAAAGGTCCCGGGTTCGATTCTGGTCAAGGGCATGTACCTTGGTTGCGGGCACATCCCCTGTAGGGGGTGTGCAAGAGGCAACTGGTCGATGTTTCTCTCTCATCGACGTTTCTAGCTCTATATCTCTCTCCCTCTCTGTAAAAAATCAATAAAATATATTTAACAAAAAAAGAAGATAACTTATACATATCTACGTGTATTTATATGCATAACTGTATTAAATTATAAAGATATGCTTATATATCAATATTGCATCTTTTATAAATTGATGCAATATTAACATATATACATACATATTCAAATCTATAATTACCTATGTATCTTCTGTATGATCTCATTACTTCTCCTTAATAAACAGGCAGTTATGATTGTTTTATTTAGGGTGACTGCTTCTCTCTTTTAGTCATGGCATAGTTATTAATACCAGCCCTTTCACTTTTAAGAGTACCCTGATATGAATGATAAAATCATATGGATAGTTTGCTGTAGTGTCCCATATAGTAGTCACTAGTCACATGTGACTAATGAGCGCCTGGACTCTGCTCAGTCTACATGAAGATGTGCTGTCATTGTAAAACATAATTTTGAAGACTTGGAATAAAATATACAAATACAAAGTCTTATAAACAGTTTTAAATACTATTAAATCATGAAATGATAATATTTGTTAAACACCAGGTTAAGTAATATACATTACTGAAATTCACTTACCTGTTTCTTTTTCCTTTTGAATGTTATTTCTAGAACATTTTAAATTACATATATGGCTCAAATTTATGACTTGCATTATATTTCCTTTGAAGACTGTTATTGTTGATATAAATGTTTTCACACTTTTGTTTCTAGTGGAGTAGTAATTCATATGCATGATGCATATATAAATTAAACTAAAATTTTAAAATTCTTCTTAAAAGTATTATTATCATGGTTGTTTACTTATAATTAATTCCTATGCTACCTTTAGTAAAAAGCACTTCAGGATTTTTTTACCATTTAAATTGTAAAAGACAGGATAATTAAAAATTAAAAACTGGATCAGAAACCAATTAGTCGGAGGGGAAAATTGAAAGGATTACAGTAATTATGAACTAAATATAACACTGAGCTTCCTGGATATCAAAATGAAAAGTAAAAAAACAAAACAAAAGTTGCTACTTACGTTTGCATTAGTAGTGTTTTGGAGAGAGTAACTTTTATGTTAGGTACAAATAAGACACATTTGTCAAACAGATTGTTTTATAGTAGCAAGACAAACAAATAGGCAATATCCCTGGTCCAGTTTCGGGAGATCTATATGTATAAAAGGCTAATATGCAAAGTGTCCCCTCAAGAGTTCAACTGGGAGACCAGGAGTTCGATCATTAGCTATGATGTGAGATGATCACCAGGGGTGGTGCAGAATGAAGGAAGGCCCAGCTGGCAGCCAGCAACCAGGGAAGGAAGGCCTAGGCTGGCAGCCTGAAGGCCCCAATCAGCTCTGATTACAGGCCAGACCTAGGAATGCTACCTGTGCACAAATTTCTGTACTAGGCCTGTAGTATAAAGATAACTTTCAGAGGAATGTTAGTATGTGTTTATAACAGTACTAGAAGCCAGGTACACAAATTCATGCACCAGTGAGGTCCCTTGGGCTGGCCTGCGTTTTTACGTCAAAACTGGCTCTCTGACATCCCCCAAGGGGTCCTGGATTACAAGAGGATGCAGGCTAGGCTGAGGAACTCCTTCGGTGTATAATTGGTGTCTGGGAGGGACACGAAAGGTTGGCCAGCCAGGGAGGGAACAGGGAAGGGCTCCAGGCATGTCTGGCTCACCTCACTTAGTCCCAATCAGCTGGATCCCAGCAGCAAGCTAACCTACCAGTTAGAGCGTGTGCCCCCTGGTGGTCAGTGCATGCCATAGCAACTGGTTGACAATTCAACTGTCTTCCCCCTGGAGGTCAGTGTATCTCATAGTGAGCAGTTGAAAGGCCTTAGCATATCATTAGCATATTATGCTTTGATTGGTTGAACGGACAACCCAACAACTGGATACTTAGCATATTAGGCTTTTACTATATAGGATGTCTGGATTCAGGTAGGATGATCTCTGACAATGAAATTCTTTTGGTAACTGAAGATGAGACACATTTAGGTAAATGGGGAGCCTATCTCTCCTTTTCAAACATAAAACCTCTCAGTTAAAACCTAGAAAGTAGGTGCATATCCATGGAGGAAGAATACAACAGGAAGTAAAGGGTGGTATAGTATTATAGACATGCATTTGAACATGGCAGACATGCATTTGAACATATCTGCTGTGAATCATTTAAGAAACTGATTTACATTTGGCCAGATGGAAGACTGTCATTCTTCCTATTTAGGGGGCAATAGAAGGAGCCTATAGTACAGTAAAGTGCATTCTGCAAGACAAAGAGGACTATGAAATGAAACATTTGAGTAAATGTTCAGTTAAGGCCTTAAAGTTCTGAGAATAAATCATAGGAGAGATCATTTTTGACCTTAAGTAGTTAATATCCAAAAGATGTTAACAAATTACTCATTTTTCCATAAAAGGACCTTGGTGTACTTGGTCCTCCAGAGTAAGGCATCCGCCTAGAATCTGTTTATCCTTTAAAATTATATGTTTATTTGAGGAAATCCCCGCCCCCCCCTCAGGAAAAGATCTGTGGATTTCTTCCAGTTCCCAAAGGGCTCACTAACCGCTAACATATTAACCAGTTCTGGCAAGTATTAGATTTTGAGCTAAATCTACACTCTAACCTTAAAATAAATTCCCAAATAACAGAACACATTAATAAACAGGATGGAACAATTTATTTATCTATCATTTATCATAGCCAAAGAGTATAATTTTAACTGTTGTGTGAATGATATTGAGCTTATGTTACTAAATATCTTACCTAAGGTGATTCACCAAATTAATAGAAATCAATGGGGCAGAGTGGATAAGTAAAGGGTGATGAAGATTAATAGACTTGTGTCATTAGAAACTTTGTGGCTGAATTTAGAAAAAGAAATGATTTCACTTAGGATGACTTTCCTAACCTCCAGAGAATATGTAATATATACAATCTCTAGTGATCCCCATTTGCTCCTCAGATAAAGATCAAGGTCCTAACATGCCCTACAAGTCCTTGCTCTCTCTCCTCTTTTTTTGCCTCCACTTTTTATCTCATGCCCCTGCCCCTCCATGCCCAGCATTTACAGTGTCAGAATGCTATAAATCTTTCAGTTCTTGGTCCTTATTACTCCCTCCCACCATGTTCCTTCTGCCTGAAGCCTCTTACCAAGCTATTCTTACTTAATTCTGATTCATCCTTAAAGCCTTTACTTAAATGTACTGGCCTCAAGGAAGCTGCCCTTGGTGGCTCTGTCTGGGTAAGGTTTTCCAAGTTAAACATTCTCTCAGAATTCTGTACCTTTATTTAAGGCACTAGAGGTCCAATGCAAGAATGCATGCACTGGTGGGGTCCCTCAACCAGGCTGGCCATCAGGGCCATCTCGCCTAGTTCCTCCCCCTGGCCACGGGAGGTTGGCTGTTGGAGCACACTGGCTACTAGGGGGCAACTCCTGCATTGAGCGTCTGCCCCTGGTGGTCAGTGTGCATTATAATGACCAGTTACTGGGTCAATCAGTCACTTATGGTTTTATATATATAGACAGAAAGATTTGGCCCAGTGTTAATTTTTACATCCATTTATTTATTCACTTATGTAATATCTCTTTCCCCTACTCCAGGTAAACACTATGAAACTTAAGCGATTACTGCCTCAGTGGGTCCTAAAGGTAGAACCATGGCCCCAGCAGGACTGGAAGGCAAGGTATCAAGCCAAAGAAGATTATTCTTGAGCCTCTAAACTCAATGGAATGTCTTGCTAGTTTTTAGACTTGCTTAGGACCTGCCAACTATTCCCTCTTCCTTATTTTTCCTCCGTTTGGAACGGTAATGTCTATCCTCTGCCTGCCTCACCATAGCATTATGGAAGCATATAAGTTTTCTGGTTTCACCGGTTCACAGGAAAATAATTTTGTCTCAGAGTGAATCATACCTTGAGTCTCACCCACATCTGATTTAAATGATATTTAAATGAGATTTTGGACCTTAGATGTCAGAGGTGATGCTGGAATAAGTTCTGATGTTTGGACCTTTGGGGTTCCTATCAGGTTAGAGGGTATAGCCTCCCAAATTTATAAGTTGATGCTCTAACCCACATATGATTATATTTGGTAACAGTGCTTTTAGAGGGGCATTTAAATGAGGTTATAAGTGTGGTGTCCTTATCTAATAGGATTGGTGGCCTTATAAAACAAGAGAAAAATACTTATCTCTCTCCATGCACATGTATTGAGGAAAGTCCAAAAAAAAAAAAAAAAAAAAAAAAAAAAAAAAAAAAAAGCAGTTGTCTGCAAGTCAAGAAGAGAGCTCTCACCATCACTTTTTTGGCACATGACCTGATTTTGTTTTGAGTACATGCTCTGTCATAAGAAAACCTCCAAATTATAGGACATGTATCATTGGATATATGTGGTTCAATACTCCAAAACTGCCTGACCATTTTAAAAACTGACAGAATCTATGAGTCATGTGCAACCATTCTAAAGACACTTTTTAAAAGATTCAGGAAGCTATGCATCACTTATTCAAACCAATTTTCTTTATATAATTTACAAAGCAATCCCCACAATAACTGTACTACCCAACTGGCTCATCTGTCATTGAAAAAAATAGATAAAATCTGAAAATAAAAGTGAATATATGCATTAAAATGATTTTTGCTTGCACTTTTATCTTTACTATTTTAAAATCATTAACAGGGAACTTTTACTACTAAATAAATTTCTATTCTTCTGGAAATTGATAAGAAATTCCTATTTCTTGTGCTCTACATAGGAGGAAAGAATCTTACCTTACAAATTTTTAATTGGCTTTTAATTACTGTGGGCTCTGAGATAGTGGTAGGTTGGGTTTTCAACCAGTTGTCAGCAGTAGTTGTCATGTGTTCCAATTGTTGTAGCTGATTATAGAAAGTGATGATGTTGTTCTGATAATCCAACCAGTTAAGTCTCTCACTCAACAATTGGCAGAACTCATTCCACCGGCTGTTCAGTTGTTCTGAGGCTTGTTTGATGCTGTCAGCATTGACACCCTCTAGAAAGAAAGATTTTTATAAGCTACCCAATCAAGCCACAGAATGAAAGACATTATCTGAAGATCAATGTGTCTCAAGTTTATAAAGTATACATCATCTGAATGACTTCAAACAAATCACTTATTTACTGATCAAAAAGTGAAATTACTAAGATGATTTCTGATTGAATGCAGATTATTAGATTGTATCTTATTTAAAAAAAAAAAAACATGAAAGAAACAAAACCAGTTTGGCTCAGTGGATAGAGCGTAGGCCTGCAGACTGAAATGTCCCAGATTCGATTCCGTTCAAGGGCATGTACCTTGGTTGTGGGCACATCCCCAGTAGGAGGTGTGCAGGAGGCAGCTGATCAATGTTTCTCTCTCATCGATGTTTCTAACTCTCTACCCCTCTCTCTTTCTCTCTGTAAAAAAAAATCAATAAAATATATTTTTTTAAAAAGCCACAAATATGGCCAAAGTTCTCATGGGGAGTGGAAGATTGATTGTGGACAAGTAAACATTTGGATGTTTCCAAATAAATGCTAAATATCATGCATATCATTAAAATGTTCCTTCATAAACTAACTTACATTTTAATTTTAAAATCAGTTTGGAAATTAGTTGAAATGTTATTTGGCTTTCTTAAGGGAAAAGGTGAGTATTAAAAATTAGTGATTTTGTTCTAGCTGGGTAGCTCAGGTGGTTAGAGCAACATCATGAAATGTCAATGTTGCAGGTTCAATCCCAGTCAGGGCACATAAGAAAGTCAACCTATGAACACAGAAGTATGTGGAACAACAAATCAATGTTTCTCTCTCTCTTTCTCTCTCCCTCTCCCTCTCCCTCTCCCTCTCCCTCTCCCTCTCTCTCTCTCTCTCCCTCTCCCTCTCCCTCTCCCTCTCCCTCTCCCTCTCCCTCTCTCTCTCTCTCTTTCTCTTCTCTCTCTCTCCAACCAATAAATTTAAATAAGCACACAAAAATCAGTTATTTTGTTTTTGCTACAGAAAGCCAAAAATAAGTAGATTGTCTATATGCGTACAAAGAATTAAAACAAACACTAAGAAAAATAATATTTTAATATGAAAAAAGTTATCATATTATTTACATATCATATGTGGAAGTTGATCTGAAAGTTTGAAAATCATCTATAGCATTATCATAGCGGGGGGGGAAATGTGTCAGAGCAAAATTTTGAAAAAATAAACATATCATCACACTTAGCCTTTTGAGACCTTATTATGTGTTAGGAAATATACTGTATTTTAATATATATCATCTTATTTAAATTTCTTATAAGGTAATACATGATTAATGCCAATCCAATTATATATTATCCTACACATACTATGAAAGCGACATTATGCAATGCTACATATCAATTCACAAAATTTAGATGTTCTTACACACAAACACACATTTATGTGTTTAGTAGTAATATCTTTAATAAATTTCATTATATAATGATAAATATTAAAACTATGTAGGCATCTCAAAAGGGATCATAAACTCACTATAAAATTTTTCCTATAGATTAAAATACTTAAGTGGTAAAGCGATTTAGTGAAGAGCAAGTTGTCTAGGAGAATTGACTTTAGGGATAGGCATTTACTTTACTTCATGGAGTAGTTAGTTGATAGGCAAGTAAGTTATTAAGAAGTATGAAGACTATCTCTAGCAAACAAGGCCTATGGTTTTGCTAATTTTTAAGTGAGCTTCACTCTTTCTAAAGACTAAAAAATATGGAATTAAATTCAATAACTATATTATTTTATCCTCTTTTACTTTCCTATGCTCTAATACTCTAATATTCACTTTGCTGTAATTGTTATGCTGCCAAACCACATCTCTCAACTCATTTGAAAGACAACTCTTAACTTCACAATTTCAAAGTTTGAAACTACCAAAGATGACCCTGGAGAGAACAAACTTTGCAAATATTATTGGCAATGTTCTTTTCCTCTTTCTTCAGATGATACATTTTCAAAGTAAAATGATTTTTAAAATAAAGTGTAAAAGCATAATATATGTATGTCTCCATATATACAGTTATAAGAGGCAGACCATGATTTATACAAGCTAAATGTTCTTCTAATACCTTCCTATTAGTTAAATAAAAATTTGGTTTTAAAGCAAATCTGGATATGTTGTGTGATATATTGTCTGTGATTATTTGGTTTTTAGCAGTGACCAAAAATGGTATGTTGGGGGAATGCTACAAAGTATCTGTAGTTATAAAAAGATGTTTATACCAATTATAAAAGAATCCAAAACTCCAGTCACATAGGCATCCATTTTGAGGGGAAAATTTACAATAAAGAGCTAACATTATGGCTGGAAAATAAAATAATTTAAAAATACACAGGGATACATTTTAAATTATGTTAAATAATGAATCAAAAATATGCCACAAATATAATGATCACATGTTTGGAAGTATTTTCAGCATATGTTAAATGATAAGGGAATGCAGAGAGAAATATCTCACTGTACCAGAGAGAGATCAACCATTCAAAGACCTGCTAGCATTTGGAAAAATAGAATCATTAGTTAATTTTCACTATCTATAATATACATGTTAATTTCATCAGCAAAATATAAATCAAACTATAATGAATTGACAAACTGAAAAAAAAGAAATTATAATGAAGTACTAATAGCTTCTGGTGTATCTATTAAAATCCAGGAATAAAATGTAACGAGTCTTTATTGATTATTACCCCTAGTGACCAGCTCAATATGTTGGAGCCCCCTACAAAAATGTCCAGATGCTAAGCATCACTGTAAGAGGAATTAAAATAAATTAGAAAAGTGAATTTGTACAAATCCCACTATGATATATACAATGCTCTCTATTTATTAGCTAGATTTTTATAATTGCCTAAAGGCCATTAAAGTACAATAATAGGTAAAAGAAGAATATCCATATTAAGATAAATGGTGAAGGCAGGCAGAAGGGTATAGAAATTCACAACAAGGGTTCTGTTATTAGGTAGATCTGAGTTCAAATGTTAACTTCTTTACCAGATGGGTGAACTGGGTTCAGTTATTTAATCTCATTGGGTCTCAGATTTCTCATGCATGAAATCAATACATGTGAAGTAGTCACACAAAGTCTGGCATATACCAGTAAATATTAGTCAATCTTAATATAAAAAAAAAACAGGGTCTGTAAGATCCAAAATAACTGAAGGTTTGACTGATTGCTCAGGGGGCTGTGGATCAGGCCTCAAGAGAGGCCTGGAGAGAGAAACAGAGTCTAATCCGTAACCTCCGTGGCAGCTGTTGATCAGCTCTTGCCTATCTCTTTCGCTCTGGGACTGGCCAGCAGCCTTGCCTCTCTTTCTTTCTGGCCTCCACTGGGGCTGCTGATCAGCCCCGTCTCTCTGATCAGGCCCTCTAATAGGTCCAGAGATGCTGACTGGCATAAAAATAGACAAATCAGGACCAAATCTGGGTTAACTGTGAAGAGGCAATGGCTGACTGGGAGGCAGAACTTTTGACTCTGATCAGCTAGAAACCGACCAATCAGAACCTAATCTGGGTGAATGGCGATGGCAGAACCTAGGGTGGGGGGGTGTTAGGAGGGGTTTTAAAGGCAACAGCTGTTTGGTGTAAAGTGTAAGAAAGTGGCTCTGTTTTTTAATCACTGGTTTGGCAGTGTAGTGCATATGGCTGGCTATCAGTCCAGACTCAGGGATTATGTGTTTTTGTCTGCCAAGAATATCTCCTCCTGCTGCAAAAGGCTTTCTCTCCTCCTGCCCCATTTAATCAATCATATCCTATATAATCTATGTATACTGCTAAAAGGGTGATATGCTAATTAGGCTGGGTCCACTGGCCATTTCCAGACATCTGACTTCCTTCCGGACAAAGCCATGGTGTGGGGGCTGAGGCAGAGGTTGTTAGGGGTGCTCAGGTTGGCAGAGGAGGGCAGTTGGGGGCAAGATCAGGCTGGCAAGGGAGGGCAGTTAGGGGCAATGAGGCAGGCAGAGGCAGTTAGGCATGATCAGGCTGGCAGGGGAGGGAAGTTGGGGGAGAGATCAGGCTGGTGGGGGGGCAGTTAGAGGCAACCAGGCCAGCACGGGGGGCAGTTAGGGGTGATCAGGAAGACAGACAGGTGAGCATTTAGGAGCCAGTGGTCCCAGATTGTGAAAGGGATGTTTGACTGCCAGGATTGGACCTAAACTGGCAGTCATACATCCCCTGAGAATTCTCAGATTGGATAGGCTGAGGGCCCCCGTGCACGAATTTTGTGCACTGGGACTCTAGTATGGTAATAAACCCCTAATATGGAAATTAACCAAACCATAGGGTGACCAGTCACTCTGACATGCCCTGACCACTAGAGGGTAGATGCTCAATGGAGTGTGCTCCCACAAGGGGAGCGCCGCTCAGCCAGAAGCCTGGCTTATGTCTGGCGAGTGTAGCAGCAGTGGCAGGAACCTCTCCTGCTTCTGTAGCAGCAGCTCTAAGGACCCCTTGGGGAATATTTGACTGCTGAGTTAGGCCTATGCCCACAGGGGACATGCCCCAAGGGGTCCCAGACTGTGAGATGGTGTAGGCTAGGCTGAGGGACCCCCCCCACAGGCTTAGGGACCCCCAGTGCACAAATTCTAGGCACTTTGCATTCAGTTGATATAAAGTTTATGTATAGATGAAACTGGTTTGGCTCAGTGGGTAGAGCTTCGGCCTGCAGACTGAAAGGTCCGGGGTTCGATTCTGGTCAAGGGCATGTACCTTGGTTGCAGGCACATCCCCAGTGGGGGGTGTGCAAGAGGCAGCTGATCGATGATTTTCTCTCATTGATGTTTCTAACTCTCTATCCCTCTCTCTTCCTTTCTGTAAAAAATCAATAAAATGTACATTTAAAAAGTTTATGTATAAAATGTAAAAGGAATTTATTAATAAGTGACAAATTCATAAGATTACTAGGGAATCTTGGGATATTTGGTCACACATCTATAACAATTTGAAATTAAATTATAAAGGACAGCTATGCCACAAATCAGAAACAAAAA